ATGGGGTAAACCTCGCACACAGTCATCTATGTGCTTACGTGAGCCTCTTCCTATTCCTTTTGGACCTGGTGAGTCCATAATATATCCATGGACTGGATGGCAGTCATCACCAACTGGAATCGTAGTCGGCAACTATTCGTGGGCATAGACGGATTTTCAAAGGATGCTAGCACTCCCAAAAACAGCAAAGACAGATTTAGCATTAAAGCGTTCTTGGCATACAGGTATCAGACTTTGGTTTTCCGAAAAAGGATAACGAGTGATGGGGATGTCAGGTTCACAATGGAACAATGACGGTCTCGAAGGAACAAGTATGGAACTGCCCTGACTATGAGTTCAGGTCAGGGCACGGCAATTGCTTATACCTTTTATCACCCGAGATCAACTCGAGTGGGATGAGCAGTTGCGTCAAGTAGCAAGTGCTTACCACAGCGTCGTTCCCTCTGCTACGGGTTGCCATCCCGACCACCTACAGCTTGGATAGAAGCCTAGGAAACCACTTGATTTACTATGTTCAGACAAGTGTCAGCATATGCCACCTGGAAATCTAGAGTATACACTACAACACAAACAGATCCCGTAGAAAATTACGATACGATGATTCAGCGAAACGTGTGATTTCTGCGCTTATTGAAATGACCCACGAATTTTGTTATTTTGATTTTCCGAGTCCTTGGGTCCCTCCCACTCTAGTAGAGGTAGCTGGTTAAAAAAAAAAAAAAAAAAAAAAAAAAAAAGAGTCGTTGGGTCCCTGGAGATGGATAGAAAATCATTGAACTAATATATTAAAAAAAAATGTTATCCGGGTGAGAAGAGAGCATGAAATTTATGAACTTATGAACAAATTTGCTGGAGCGGAACTATCTACTTGTAGAGAAGCTACAGAAATATCAGCAGGAAAGGAGTGAGCAAGGAAATAAGCACACTCCCACAGACGTGTATCTCTATTTCAGGTAGGAAATTTGGTTATGGGTGAGAACTGCAGAGTTTAGTCCAGAAGTCCCGGACGAGAATATTATCCAGGGAACTCCAGCCAGCCACTGTACTATCGGCCATGTACAAGTTCAGATATTGGAGCTACTAATCTTTTTTTTTTTTTTTTTTTTTTTTTTTTTTTTTAACCGGGCCCAGCGTCCCTTATAAGAGAAATACAATGCTTGATAATGGTTCAGGATGATTTGAGGATGATTCCAGATGATTCCGTCTGATTCAGGAAGATTCAGGATGATTCGAAAGGCTATGAACTACTGGATTATAAACTAGGAAGATTAACCAGAAGGTCAATCTACTGAGGATTCCATTTCTGTCCTATCCCTATATTCAGGTGATCTTACTGATCCTGATGTTCCTTCGTAAGCAATTGTGTCCCACATCATCTAAAGAACCTATCCAGTATTTTTACACATGAAAGTTGTTGCCTCTGTTCCTAGTAAATGACCAATTGATTCAATTCTCGTCATGTAGATTGATCGTATCGCCCCTGATGGATGGTTATGTGGATGTTGATTGGACTTGATTCTATTGTTGAACACCGGTATATACCGGTACCAAGATCCTTTGGGAGAGGACACCGACCAAAGCCTAAGCTGCGCTACAGAGTTAGGTTTAGATATCATACCAACCTGAGTGAAGGAAGGTTGATGGTTCACAAGGGAAAAGTAGATGCACACAGCAGGGGGAGTTGTGACAGCAGATTAAAGGGTGTGAAAGGAAAGCAGTGATTGGAATTGAAGAGGATTCTCAGGGGACTCCTAACGCAAGGGAATGGGGAGTGTGAAGCACCTGGGCCTCCCAGATGCGTTACAGAGAGAAGGGCCCAAAGTGGCCCAGACCTTAAGTGAAGGCCGAACGAAAACAGCACCCGCAGTTTTCAGAAAAGGCCAGTCCATGCAGAGTCGCGGGACCGGAGAGGTCGTTGGAATCCTGGTAGTCCACGGCTGCTTTCAGAAGCAGCCAATAAGCAAGGCCTACCGTCCACGTCCGCATCCCAGTCTCTGCATATAGAGTGCAGCCAGACACATTCTGGCACGATGGTGCTGCCAGGAATTCGCACATCCGTGTCATGATTAGCCTGTGTCCGCAGCAGTGGCAGCCAGTCAGCCAGTTGTAGCTGGGTGTGGGTCACTGCCACGCATAGCTGGGCTGGACGCTACCTTCTTCCTCCGAACATAACGCATATGCATTGTAAACGAATACAACACATAGGTGCGTTCTATTCGAATACAACGCTTATGCATTCTATTCGAATAGTCCTAAATTTTGAATACAACGCATATGCGTTCTATTCGATTTTTTTCGAATTTTGAAACTCGAATACAACGCATATGCGTTATGTTTGGGGGAAGAAGGTAGTGAGAGGGAGGTGGCACATGGAGGCGAGGTCCTAGGAGGACGAGGAGGTCCGTAGGGCGAAGGAGGTTTGCGAGGGACACACCTGGTGGTTGCCAAGAAGAGCTCCGGCGAGAGACATTTCTCATTCAGATGTCAGTGGGAACAACATTGTGCTCTGCGGCATCGTGTAAGGCTAGAGTAGTAGGTAAGAGCACATGGTCAGTCACATAGGCTGGTAGTGAGACCCACAAGAGCAGAGAATTATTGTTGTTTTTGTTGTTGTTGAGAAAGGGCTTTAGGCTGGTAGTGAGACCTGCAAGAGCAGAGAATTGTTGTTGTTGTTGAGAAAGGACTTTAGGCTGCTAGTGAGACCAGCAAGAGCAGATAATTATTGTTGTTGTTGTTGTTTGTTAAGAAAGGGCTTTTCATCATTACAGCTTACAAGACTGAATTTGTTTGTTGGTGTGATGAAAAGCCCTCTTCTCGCCTCCCGCTCTGCCGATTGCCCGGTAGCCATATCCACGCTGGCCAAGAGAGTTCACTGCCCTTGTGGATTGAGTTTCTCCAGTGTGGTCTCCTTGCACTTCCACCCTGCCTTCGGAGGGTGAACAACCTTGGGAAATCACAAAGAATTGGCATTCCATTGTTCGTAATCAGGTTGTTCTACTACAATGTGCATGCCTTTGTCATCTTTGTCATGCCAATTCCTAGGGTCCTTTTCCATCGTTTGTTTATCGCCGGTTCTGGGTCATTCATTTTCAGCAGCGGCAGGTTGTGAGGCTGGAAGTCGTTTACCATCTTTCTTGAATTTTTTTTTCCTTGAATGTTCTCAGCCGACGCCGGGTAATGGCCCCCAACAAAAAGGGTTACCTAATTTGACGGCGCTTGCCAGGCCCATGCTCCCAGCCGGCGCTGCTCAAGCAGACTGAATGAACTCCCCTCAGCTGACCGTCCCAGCTATATACCACTGGGCCTGGCTGCGTGCTCTCCGGTCTGCAATCAGGACCATCCGATCTAGTATCTGATCGGCAGTCCTGATCGCAGCCCCAACTCCTGGTCCTACGATCTGGCCTACGACGGCCTGCCTGGGTCCCTACTGGACGTCCAGGCCATCCTGCTACTGCTGCAGGAACCTGAGGACTGGGCCCGGCACAAACGGACCACCACCTGGTCCAGTCCTAACTACGGACGAAACTGAACCTGGCCTACCTTGGCCTGAATTGAACTCAACTGGCTCGAACAGGCATCTGCCTGTTCAGAAAAAAAAAACGAAAGGTCCGAAGGGACACCTCTGAGACAGACAAAACTCAGTCCCAAACTCAACCTGCAAAAAAAAAAAAAAATAATGCTGAAAAAAAGAAAGGCGACGGGACAAAATAGGAGCCTGGTCCTAAAAGATGGCCGTGGCCGTCCAAGTCGCACAGCAAGGAGGCTGCGCGGCCTGGGGACCGACAGAAGAACTGACCGCCCTAAAGGAGCCCATGTAGGAGGCCGGAGGAATGCCCACACACCTTGTCTTTTTTTTTTCTTTTTTTTTTTTTAAAGAAACAACCCGAGACGATGGTAGGGGTGCTGATAAGAGCAGACACCTCTATCAGTCTCGGGGAGGCTCCATCTATTGTTGGGGAGCTGCACCTGCTGGAAACCGGGTCCAGCGTCCCAGAACAACATATTTTCCTGGTTACACAGACATTAGTTTATTAGTTTATGGTATCCAGTGTCATTATGGACCGTCCTCAGAGGAGGCGGTTTCTCGATAGGGCCACACATTTAGTCGACATGCTAGGTTGTTTGCCTACATGGCATCTGTCTGCTAACGCTCTTTACTCATGGAGCCAAGCTGAGTCACGAACGAGTTAGTCTCTTTACCTGGAGGGTAACTATCCTAGCTTGTTATCCTACAGGGCATGTTTAGGCAGGTGATGGTAAACCCGAGTCTCATGTCTGGTCTCTCCTTTTACTCGTGAGGCCAGGCCTAACTGCCAATGAGCAGGTCTCTAGCACGTAGGCAAACAAACCAACCTCCTGTTCCCCAACCCCCACCCTTTGGAACATGGAGTTTTGAACTTTTGAACAGTTTTGAACAGTGTCACATACTGGTAGACAGTGTCAGGCTGTTTTAGTTGTCTTTTAGGGACTGCTATATTCTGTGGGAATGTGATCTGTGGACAAATCAGTAGCCCCCCTCTCCCTCCTGATCCTTTTGGCAACCATTTTTGTAAATTTGTGGTATTTCTTCAAGTGCATGAAACCGACATGGCGTTTTTACGAGTGGTTTCCCCGTCTGTTCTACAAGGTCCGGCTGAAGGTAAGAAAAGTACCTCCCTATCTTCCTACGTTCCTCCCTACTGCTGGTCCCTTTCAGACAGGAAAAGCCCTCACAAAAATGCCATGTTTAATTTCACACACACGTACACAAAAAAAAAACAGTCTCAAATTTAATGAAACATTGAAAAGGCTATTTTCTTCACCGTTTTCTAGTAGACTGACATGTGGGACAAGTGTCTGCTGCCCAGCGTTTCACCAGGATGTGTCTTCCTGCCTGTTATGCACAATGCTGTCGGACATTTCTGCATGCAACTATCAACAGCACCATCCTGTGCAACAATGTTTTCTTGCCCTTCCTGAATCGATTGCAACTATGTTCTTGCCCGTCCGAATTGCTCGCAGTTATGCCCTAACCGAAAAGAGGGATGGATGGCACGTAACAGGAGATGCATTGACGGCTGTCACCGCTGTGCTGCAGTAAATCTCCCTGACATGACAGTTCTTCCCCACCTTCTCACACGAGGAGCAAGATTGCTGAGCATCAAGCTTCTTGAGTAAATGGACGGTTCCTGGGGCCCCACTCAAGAAGAAGCGGGGCTCATAGCAAGGGTCTTCTGAACTAAGCAAATTTAACAAAAAGTGTTGAGGACAACATGTCACTGTGAATCTGGTTGACATGAAGGAGCTAGCGGTTGAGGCGCAAGGAAATCTTTCTTGGGAGGGAGCGGAAAGACGAGCATTCCATGTAAGCAGTGATGTCATGACGTCAGCGTGACAGTCGCCAATGCTGTAATTTGGGAAACTGGAAGCCTTAGACAAAACAGGCAAACATAAGGGGCAGTAAGGGGACCAGGGAAGGACCGGGGAAAAAGGTGGTGACAGGGAGGAGGAAAGGAGGAGGAGGAAGGGTAAAATGGCCAGAGCGTTCCTGCTTCACGGTTGTGAATCTGTTTGTTCTGTTCGGTCGCTTTCTCTTTCTGGTCGTTCCCAACATGAACGAGATACGAATGTGGAATCTTTGACGTCACTGTCAATGTCATCTTGCACATGGCTTTCACGTGCCTCGTTGCTAAGAAATGAGCTTTACGGTACAAGTTTGAAGCTTCAGAAGTCCAATTCGCGTTCCTGCTCACGAAATGGTCAGAATTGCAAAGTGAATGCATCAGCTCATCATCCTACTCACGGTGGGCGTGAAGACAGGGCCGAACCTGTCGCTTCTCAGAAGGTCCGCAATTTCGTCGTCTGTGCTGCAGGTGCAATGGCTGTGGCTCTGTCAGTACCCCTCCAGCCCCCCCCAGCCTGGGCGGTCGCAGGAAGTTCAGTTGAAGTCGTGCGAGGACCGGTGTATAGTGAAGTCGCAGGTCTAATCGCTGGCCCTCCGGTAAAGGATGCGCGCGCGCTTTTGCGTTATGCTCTTCCCATTAATAACAAACCGATCAAGGAGGTTCAGTCGGCACTGGAGTTGATTACGGAGGACCTCAAACTTCCGGGGACAAAGGCTGTCGACAGTGCCGAGCGATCTGTCAGAAAGGCATCCAGGGCCTTGAGTCAGAACAAGGCAGCTATCCTGGCAGATGTGGCTGATGGTAAGAAGGATGAGGGTAAAGAACTGCTGGACAAACTAGAGGATGGGCTGCAGAGCTTCACAACCATCTTTGAGGACAAGGACAGAGATGCCCTAGCCCCCAAACAAGCTGAGCTTTTGGATTATGTCACTCACATTGAAGAGGATATGGTGGAGAAGTTTCCTTTTGAGATTCCAGCTGAATTCGCCGACAGACCAGTTCTGAAAGGAAGAGCAACTGTGGAGATGAAGGTTAGGGTTAAAGACAACCCGAACTTAACGGCGCCTGTCGTCTTCAAGGTCGTTGTGGATGGATATAATGCCCCAGTAACTGCAGGGAACTTTGTGGACTTGGTTCAACGCCACTTCTATGACGGAATGGAGATTCAAAGAGCGGATGGATTTGTCGTGCAGACGGGTGACCCGGACGGTCCAGACGGTCCATTGGAAGGCTTTGTGGATCCAGCAACGAAGCAGATGCGCACCGTACCTTTAGAAATCAGGGTTGTTGGTGACAAAGAGCCCATCTATGGTGCAACATTGGAAGAGATTGGCCGTTTCCGGGAAGGAACGGCCCTCCCATTCAATGCGTTTGGCACGATGGCCTTGGCCCGTGAGGAGTTTAGCAACGACTCGGGCTCAAGTCAGGTTTTCTGGCTCCTCAAAGAGAGTGAATTGACTCCAACAGGAGCAAACATCCTTGACGGTCGCTATGCAGTCTTTGGATATGTCACGGAGAATGAGACGTTATTGGCAGATCTCAAGGTGGGTGATGTCTTGGAGAGCGTTCGAGTAGTGCAAGGGCTAGAGAACCTGCAAACCCCTTCGAGTACTGCTGCTAGCCCATCGATCGTATAACAATCAGTAATAAAGGCCAAGTAAAGCCAAGGGGCTAAGGAACCATGGATTGGGGCCTGTGGACCACGCCTGTGGACCAGAGCCCAGAGACAGACAAGTCTCTTGGGACTAGGCACTAGTGCCTGCCAAATGAGCCCTACTAGGGATCAGGGCCTACTGGACTATGATTGTGTGGCGGAGACATCACACTAGCCAAGACATAGCACCTGTGAGAGGAGCCCCACTGGACCCGGGGGACTCGTTCGAGTGTCAAAAGCATAAGGGTGTGATCCTGTGAGAGGAGACCCACTGGGCTCGTACTTCTTGCGACCTGATGGTGCAGGAACTGCACCAGGTCCACATATGCACCACAGGTTCATGCTAGTCTAGCACAAAATTGTAGTTCAGTAGGGATTGACGTTACGCTAAGCCAAGCAGCATAAGTGAAAGGGTGGACTATAATTAAGTGATCACGACCAAATTTATGCCGAAACGGTGTGAACTAAGGCATGAATCGCATGGATGGGGAGGGGCTGCATGTTCCTCCCTACGTTGGCTGACCACACTTCAGTGGTCGCAACTCGGAAGTGGACAGAGGCCTGAGAGGGGCTAGATAAGTCAATGGCAATGGCTGTCGTCGAAAAAAGCGAGGGGCTGTCGTAAAAAAAAAGCTACAGTAGGGGCTGTCGTTGAAAAATCTACGGCAGATATGTGCTACCAGAAGGCAGAATTGCAATCTGCAAAATGGAAGAGCTTGTAAGAGTGTGATTCTGAATGTATTGAATTTGTATTGATTGATGTCAGCGCACTCACGGCATTGCCGTGATTGCATCGTTTTTTTAAATCTCCCAAAGCTCTCTGTGTTTCGCTTGTGTCTTTTCTGTGAATCCTGAAACTGCTTTGGTCAAATTTTCTAGATCCTCAAGTCGAACAACTCTCAGTCTGGAGACGGCGTCACCCATCTTGCTGGCAGGTCCTCATCCACTAGCTAAGTGTTTTTTTTTATTATTATTATTTTTTTTCCCTAATTGGACCATTTCTCAATTTATGCCTGTCATCCTTAATTGCGCAGGGGCCATTTGCTAATTACCCTTCTCTGTATCGTTCCAATTTTAACGGATATCCCGAAGGACGGCTAAGTGATAATTCACCCCTGCCGTGGGAGGCCGGGAACCAATTTCGTCGTCATTGCGTGCTCAGGGTTCACATTCTAACCTTCTCCGTATCATTCAGAGATTACAGGTGTCCGTCCCAAGGGAGTGTAAAGTTGTAATTTGTAAACCCTTTTTCATTTCATAAATCATAAATATTACAGCTCCAGTCTCTTTGTTAGAACTTAGAAGTAGCATATCCTTTTTCGTTTTTTTAATTTTTTTTTCCTTTCACCTGGGCCGGGGTTACTATGGAGAGTGGTATGTTTGGATTTTCGGCAAAGAAAAACAAAAAGAAAAGAGAAAAAGAGAGTGGTGGGGAGCATACCCAATTTATATCAACATCGGTGAAACAAAAGCACACCATATGTCTTATGGTGTTTTTCAAAGATCAGTACATCCACAGCCTCGGATCCGTCTGCATGATGGCACACCGATTTGAACTGGCACCATTGGCCTCAAGCGCCAAGCATCGTAACCACTGCACCCATGACGCAGTCAGTAGTCAGACCATTGTAATCATGGGGTGCCTGCATGACCGCAGTGTCCACACACACACACACACACACACACACACACACACACACACACACACACACACACACACACACACACACACACACACACACACGTGTACACACACGCGCGCACACACGCACACACACACATAGCAGTCATGCCATTGGGTGTCCATGGCTGAGTGGGTGTGTAGAGTGTGGGTTTTATGACTGTGTCAGATTAGTTTCTCAGAGTTACTACCGTTCTTGTCAGGGGTTTGGACTGGCAGTCTGCTAGGATTGCAAGGTTGGTGTGAGTAAAGTCTACCACTTTTCTCTGGGGTATCGCTAACTCTGGGCGATGTGGTGAGTCCATCAGTCAAATGCATCCTGGGCAGACTGTCTGTCCAGGTTCAACCTCCTGATGAGCCGGTGAAAGTCCACCGATGAAACAGTCTGGTACAGTCATGCTTTTTTTTAGTGTATAGCGAATATGACAACACACACACACACACACACACACACACGTGTACACACACACGCACACACACACACAACACCACACACGGCAGTCACTCTCACACTTGCTCTTGATCCGGCACATGACCCTCAACCACAAGGAGGTCTTTCCCCAACGGCCACCACTGCTGGTACGATTTCCAGGCTGCTTACCGGGCTAAGCACAGATCAGTACATCCACAGCCTCGGATCCCTCCGCATGACAGCGCAAGGATACAAACAGTTGTGATGTGGTGTGTGTGATTCCCACAGATTGTACCTGTTTCCGGAGTAAATGGTTGGGGAGGTGGCAGTGTGCTTGTAGGCAGTAGTGCTCCCGGTGTCACAGGAGGGGTTCATGACCCAGCTATGGATTCTTTAGCTGCCTGGTGTTGTGGGCGATAGTGTTGTGCTGTTCCTTCTGCGGATGCGGGTGTGCTGTCGGTGGGTCAGGATCCGTCAATTTTGCTTTCGCACTGCACAAGTACACGTCAAACTGAGGGATGTGTGGGCTTTTCCAGCTCAACCGCACACACGTGCGGGACCCTGCACTCTTATACTTCGGTTTCTTTTTCACAGTCGGTCTCCTTTTTCTTGATGAGCATATGCGTTCTCAGTCCATAGGTTATGGGACTACCTGTCTACAGAAGAAGTGCACCGTATACATCACCACTTTTTTACTTACCCATTGCTTCTCGCAGGCAACTGCCCGATCAGCCATATGCAGACGGGTTAGAAAAAGGACAAAAGATGGGACCACAGTGTGACAAAAGATGGGACCACAGGGTGCAAAAGATGGGACCACAGGGTGACAAAAGATGGGACCACAGGGTGACAAAAGATGGGACCACAGGGTGACAAAAGATGGGACCACAGGGTGACGCATGGGTGGCAAGGGAGAAAAGGACCCATTGCCTCTCACAGAGGACTGCCTGGTTAACCATAGCCAGGAGGGTTAGCGAAAAGGACAAAAGATGGGACCACCAGGTGAGGCATGGATAACAAGGGAGAGAAAGTGGGGGTGGGTGACAGACTGTTGCATCAGATTTTCATCAGCTCATCAGGAGGCTGAACCCTCTGACAGTCTGCGATTGTGTAAGCCGTAGTCTGCCTTGACGCCAAATTGGCTGGCCAAAGAAAAGGCCCAAGTTGGGGGGGTCTATCACCGACCCACACCAAATGTGAGACTCCGCAGACTGTAGGTTCACACCAACCTCAACTGCCCCAGAAAAAGGCCCACCAGTGAAACAAAGAAAGGAACCGGAACGGAGGCAGAACCGTAAGGTTCCGTTTTTTCCAAAAAAAAAAAAACAAAAAAAAAAGTGCCTTTCCGCTTGATGTCGATCTTCCCTGACTAGAGGCAGAAACTATCGTCTTCACCCCGGAATACAGCGTTCGCCGTACCTAGACTCAAAGTTGCCCCAAATACAGCTATAATGACCGTACGTTGTATTTGGGTGACGACTGTTGTAACCACAGTAGGGAAGGCGGAGGCTTTATAATTGAGGAATTTCAAATTTGAGGTCCTGCAATTTGCAATGAGGGAGCGCCAACTTGAACCATGCCAGGCTCATCCCAGTGAATGGTTTCATTCTCCTTTTTTTTTTTTTTTTTTTTTTTTTTTTTTGAACTGATCAGAACAGATACCACACTTGATCTTAGCCAAAAGACCGAGAAAGGTATACCATTCTCCATTTCATATCTCTGCCGCCAATGTGAAGTGGGCCAGGTACGTTGTATTCAGGTGAAGACTGTATTAGTAATCACCCACAGTAGGGAAGGGGGAGGCTTTTTTTTTTTTTTTTTTTTTTTTTAGGTCCTGCAATTTGCAATGAGGGACATTGCCAACAACAACGGCGTCCATTGATGTTGACGCTTTCCTTCGCAATGATGATGTCTCTTGCCTCAGCAAACTGTCCACACACTGCACCTTCTCTTTTTCTTTTTCTTCCCCAGACACCTTTTTATGTCGAGGAATCGCGAGGATCAAGGAAGTAATTAATGCCGTCTTCTGGTCCTCCACGCCATAAGGTGGAGGAGCGTGTGTGCGTAACCATTGTACTATCTTTTACTTGTCAGGGGAAGAGGAACCGGACTGATGCTCCCCAGAGTGGAAAAGGAGCCAGAACCTTGAGGTTCTGTTTGTTTAAAAAAAAAAAGAAAAGAAAAAAAAAAAAGTTGAGGATCACTTTGTCTTCCCAGATTTCGTAGCAGGGCTATGTGTCAAGACTCAAGACTATGCAACCTTCTCCTCTGCCAGAATCCAGGCAGGCAGAGTTATGCTCAGACAAATTTACGCTCAGCTGCATTGGACTGATTCCGGCTACAGACACAGTTACGCTCAGCTGCATGCGTCACTGTCTCTGCCAGAATCAGTCCAATGCAGCTTTTCGGTCTGCAGCCACACGTGCTGCAGGGCCGCCACTGCTTTCCTGACTCTGTGCGCACTCTTTGCACCCAGATCACACATCCGTTTTTCCAAAATGACTATGTTACTCAGGAGCTGAAAGTGGGGGTCCCATACCCTTAGGAGTAGTGGTAGGTAGGTAGTGAAAGAAAGATATGTTCCATGATGACATGGCAGAACGCCAGTTTAAAAAAAAAAAGGGTGAGGTGAGAGAACAATATATGGCTGTCCCCCGATGAGGAGAAGGCAGTTTGAAAAAAAAAAAGAAAAAAAAGTGGGGGTCCCCGACTCCCCTTTAACCACTTGTGTTAATGCACACACACACACATGTGTGCCCCTTCTGTTCTGAGGGGGCGACAGTCCAGTTGCTTATTAAGGACGAACGAGATGTACTTACTTTACTACGTACTATTGAATAAGTGAGTCGAAAGAAGTCCTTTGCTTCTTTTGTGGCTGCTTTGTAATGCCGATTGTATTGTTTGTGTGTCCTGGCCTGCAGCCAACATGCCATTTGTTGGGAGTGTTTTGAAGGGAACTGCTGTGCTGAGAATCCTCAACAACCGTCTTCACCCAAATAGAACCCCCGGTCATCATAGCAGATGTATTTGGTGCAACTTTCAGTCCAGATGTGGGCAATAATTACCAGGCGTTCTATTGGGGCGAAGATCGTAGGTCTTCCATTTCGCATTTCGCCACGCATCCCATCCCGACTGTGGGTGGGGTGGGGCGGGGTGTCCCCTGACTCCTGACTTTTCATTTATCCTTTCTCAATTTGTCATTCCCTATGATGTCATTTCTGTGGTCGGACTACCGGTAGTCCACAGTCCTCAAAAGCTTTGAGTGATAAGTTTGCAAAGTGTTGAAAATGCGCTTGTGTAGAAAAAATGTGCTTCCAAGTTCCAATTGGTTAAAAAAACTCCGATCCATTTATGATGTATACATACTGTACAATGTTTTTGAACGTTTTTCCCTTTTTTTTTTGTTTCTTTGTCTTCCTTTTCTCCGTCTTCCCTCCGTGTCTGTCCTCCCTCAGGCTGTTTCTCCTTACACTGTCTGCCGCTGTTATGGCAGATGGGGGTGTAGGCACCTCACGCTCAATTACTCTGATGCATACTTGCAAGCAGACGGACCGGACGAGCGTCCGGTCCGGTCCGGTCCGCTTTGCCGCGTGCGGCACCCTCCCCCCGGACCAGACAGACCCGGACCGGACCGGACAGGGCCATTTTTTTTTTTTTGGGGGGGGGGGGGGGCGTAACTGGTCGTCGGGTGCACATTCGTGCACCGCGCGGGTCCGGTCCGGCGGTCTGCCGCACGTGCGGAACCGCCCGGACGGCGTCCGCTTGCAAGTATGCCCTGATGTGGTAAGACTTGCACCTTAGAGGCAAACAGTATAGGGAGAACTGAAATAAGAAATGAAAAAAGAAACACTGATGATAGCCAAGAGAATGAAAGAAAAGAACTACACAGAAAAAAGGCAACAAGGATAGTTTCAGTGTGCTGCTGCAAAAATCTTCCGTTTCAACTACAAGACTACCGGTAGTACAAGCGATTTTGTAAAGGGACCAG